GTCATCACAAAGGTTAAACAACGATTTCATCTTCTAAAGTGTTGAGGCAGAGCACCACCTTTTTCAGTATCCCCCCCACCCCAAGTCAGGCAGGTGTAACTGAGTAGCTTATAGACCCTTAGCAGCTGAGATGCCTTTTGCAGATGACTAATCTCATTTGAACAGATTCTTTCATGTTTAGAGCTGTATCATTTCTGATATTGTCCTCAGATTGTACCTTCACAAAGCCCAGAATGTACTAAGTGTGCCAGAGTCATAAGAATAACTATTTTTTTAATCTTTCAGAATATAAGGAATGCATTTTTAAAAAAATTCAGTACTTTTCAATCAATACCAACCATTGTTTTTGATGCTCAAATTGTTCTATCTTTGGCCAATAGTAGCCTGTTGATGTGGCTCTCATGTTCTTTTGACATGACCCAATTAGTCATGGAGTACTTCCTTTCTTCCTGAGCTCATCAGAATGTTTCAGGCAGGTCTTGTATTTTCTCTGGCCCAGATCTGGAATAAGTCACACCTCAAAGGAGCCCTGGTTTCTTTTAGGGGGAATAGTTTTTAGAGACCACTACCTTGGTGCTGAGGGTATTCATTGCTGCTGGATTGTCCTTGGTTCTAAACCTATTTAGTGGCTTCATACGTATTTTTTGAAAAGAAAAAAGATGAGTTCATACTGGTATTTCCAATTTAAACATACTATTGTCGGATTTTTAAAAAGCTTAGTACCTTTGTACACTTGTATTTTTTTTAATTTTGGTATCATTAATCTACAATTACATGAAGAACATGATGTTTACTAGGCTCCCCCCTTCACCAAATCCCCCCCACAAGCCCCATTACAGTCACTGTCCATCAGCGTAGTAAGATGCTGCAGAATCCCTACTCATCTTCTCTGTGTACACTTGTATTTTTTGTTACAACAAAAACATCTTGGTTCCTTTTGACCTTAACATGATTATCTGCTTTATTCTATGATGTACATAAGAATTTAAAAAATAACACTGACATTTTAATAACAATGCTACTGAATAAAATTTATGATCTCTTTGAAGCTCTATTTGCCCTTGGAATATATTATATGTCACCAGTGATGTATAGTCATAATACTGTACTCTAAAACAACTTATCTTTTTCTGTGTTTTTATGCCATCAACAGCATACTCAGTTTGGTCCATTTGTTTCTTTCATTTTTCAATTTTTAGGATTTTCTTTTAATTTAATTTACGTAATATTATTAATATAACATGTTATTCCAGATTTAAAACTATGTAAGGCACATCCAGAGAAGTCTTAGTTTTCCATTCCTCTCTCCTCCACACTGTTCCCTCCCACATAAATACTTTTCAGTTTTTGGTTTATCCTTGTAGTGTTCCTTTTCTAAATATTCCATTGGTGAATGTTGTAGCTTAAGAATACCTTTTTTTCTTAACTGTAACGATAGTTAATAGTTCTGAACTACTTAAGTGCCTGGTTGGAGAGAGGAGGAGGCACTTTTTTTTTTAACTGCTTTTAGATGGGAACTCTTTTTCCTTGAGCCCATTCTTCTAGGAGAAACAATAAGAGAAACAAATTATTGTTTTTAACATGCTTCCCATGCTTCTCCAAGCTTCCAGGTAAGACTTTAACACAATTTGGTGTGAAACTTGTGCTTCACTATGCCAGTTTGGCCGCCGCGCTTCCAGGTCGGTGCTGTGGACTGAGACTGACCCTTCCCACGCTACCCAGATGAGGCGGGCACTTGCTTCTTCCTGGTGTTCTGCACCTGAAACTTGCCCCCTTTGGTGCCCCTTCCAGCCTCTCGCAAATCTTGGGAGAAGCACGGAAATCTCTGTTGCTTCTGGTCTCCAGGCGCAGTTGCTCGCCCACCCGCCCGATCTAGGGCTCCCCGGCTCCCCGGCGCAACGCTCCCCGGGCGCAGGGGTCGGGAGCGGGCCTGGCGCTGGGGAGCGAGGGCCGCCCCGCCTGCGCACGGTGGTGCCGGGATTGGGGGCGGGAGCGACGCCTCCGTCTCTGCGCTCGCTGGATCCCGCCCTCCTCCCCGCCCCAGGCCCTCCTCCCCGCCCCGAGCCCTCGCATGCCTCAGCCGTGCAGGCTCCGCACTGCAGATCCCCACCGGCCGCCTCGCGCTCTGCGGTTCTCGCGGTGCCGCTTAGGTCCGCTCGACCTCCGAGCGCCAGCTGCGCTCTCGCTGCTCCCGAGGGACCCTGGATTAAGCCGCCTCACCAAACCCCGCGCGTGCAGTCACTGCGCCAGTGGGTAGAGGGAATCCAGGGGGACTGTGGCTGCACCGGAGCCCGGGCGCTCTCGGATGCGGCAGGACAAGCTGACCGGCTCCCTGAGGCGCGGAGGGAGATGTCCGAAGCGGCAGGGTGGCGGCGGCAGCGGCGGCGTAGGCACCATCCTGAGCAACGTACTCAAGAAGCGCAGCTGTATTTCCCGGACCGCGCCCCGGCTGCTCTGCACCTTGGAGCCGGGTGAGGACCGGGGACTACAGTTGGGGCACTGGAAAGTAGCGCGGCGTCCCCGGAGCTTGGTGTCTCTGACTCTGCTGGACTCCGCCCGGTGCAGGGTGCCGCTGCTCGGCGTCAGCAGGGCTGGGTTGGCCTGGGAGGGAAGAGTGGACCAAGGCCCGAGCGGGGGCAGCGGCCTCCCAAGGCGCGGAGGACCGGCTGTTCCGGCCTGCTGCCCGCGGGCCCTCACCCCACAGCCCGTGCGTGGTCCAGCTCTGCTTGTGCCTGGAGCTGCTGGCAAGCCGCGCGCTCGGCCTTCTCCGCATGGTGGGGAAGTGCTGGCGGGTGCCGGGCTATCAAAGGCTACGCAACCAATTGTACTGCGGGCTCCGAAGAAGCCAGACCTTGAGAGGAGTGTGAGAAACGGAGAAAGGCACGGGTTTGATGCTTGAGGTTGGGAGGAAAGGCAGCACCAGCAAAGGAAAAATTGGGTTCCTGCAGCTTGAGTGCTGGGGTCAGCTCGCCTGGACCTTCTAATTTATGTGCCTCCTCGGGGAGCTGGCAGGAACACTCCTGCAAGTACAAATCTTATAGGTAAAGTCTAGATGGGCGCCTGGCCGTGTTAGGCTAGGCCCTTTTCTGCTGTTAGTTTTTGTTTCTACATCCCTGCGTCTCCAGGCTGTATAACTCCGCGTCTGCTCCACCAGCCGGCATCCCTCCCGGGGTTTTATGAGCTCGGCCCTGGCGCGGGCGCCTGGCACAGAGCTTTCTGGTAAGGGGCAGCCACAGAGGCAGCCGGCTGTACTCGCACCCTTGCATAGCTCTTACCTGTCTTCGGAGTGGCACCAGCTGGGTCCCCCCTCCCCCCCCCCGCATTCCCCGCCTCCTAGTGCCTTCGGGGACCTGCTACCCTGAGGTTGCGGAGGAAAATCTGCCAGGACGGAGCCCCAAGGGGTGGAACGCTTCGCTGCCTTTCTGAACCTCGTGGTTTCTTTGTTTTTCTCCCCAAGGAAGTGTCTAGTTGCAGAGACTAGTGTTTGTTCACCATCTTCCTTTATCCTTAAAAACAAAACAAAAAACCTTCCTATGTTAAAACTTTTATATTCCTGAGTCCGGAAAAGCCATGATTATCAGATGAAACATAAACCTTCTCCCCTCCCTCATTCAGTTAGATGAAAGAGGTGGCAGTGACCTGATTTCAGCTTTTACATGCAGGTGGTGAGTGATCAATTCCTTTTCAGTCTTGTGACTCATTTTTGATCATGAGAAAATAGTTGTGGTTTAGACTAAACCCAGCCAGGTTTCAGCGCTGGTCAGCATAATGCCCAGCAGGTGCCCTGGAAAAGTCGAGGGAGCTTATTCGGTCATACATACAGGGAATCCAGGACTTTTAGGTCGGTTAATAACAGCGTAGGACCAAATTTCCTCGTCTTTGTTACAATAAAGCAAACGTCACGACTATACGCTCCTCCATTCAGCACCCTGAGTCTGGACAGCAACCTCGCTAGGAGTCTGTTCCATCGCGTTAAATCCTGCGCTCCATCTGGAGGCGCTCTTCTGGCCATTGTTCCCATTGCTCTGTACTGCAGCAGGTCTTCATTTAAATCATCGCAGACAGATGAAAATTTGACTATATACCTTCGGAGAAGAAAATTCTGTCTATCTAGGCAAAGTATGATTTCAGCCCTAAAGCTTAAAAAAGAACTATCAGGGCATTGATTGGACGCCTGGGATTACACAGCTTGACTTTAGAAATGTAGGACCCAACTCGTGTGTTCATAGTACCCTTCCAGGAGGGGCATCTGCATGAGTCAGAGAAGGTTTTCTAAAGTTGTGGATGATTTGGAATTAGAGTTCAGTTATATTTTTAGCGTGTAGTGTACAGTTAAACATACCAACTTTTATTTTCAATGAATAAATAATAAATATATCATGACAGAATTAAAAAATAGATGAAAATGTCCAAATAGGATTGCTAAAATGGATTATTTTGTAAGTGGGAAGGAAGTGACATTATTTTTGTAACTTTTGATATTCTGAAGTTTTCGTAATAGACTTGCTCCACCAGGCCAGTGTCCTAGAAAACAAATTTTTTAAGTGAGAATTCTCTTCCAAAGTTTCATAAATTTTAATTATACCATGGTAGATGATTTATAGTTAGTAAATCATCACAATAATCTGCTGAGATAGATGTTATTATCCTCATCTTAAAGATAAAAAAATGAGACTGAGATAGGTTAAACACTTTGTTCCACTGTAGGGACTGAAGTTGAATGGAGGTCTGTAGGACTCTAAGCTTGTGGTGTCATTTTTTTTTTGTTTTTATTTTTGCAGTACACCAGACAGCTGTGGAAACTACCATCCTGTGTGATAAGCTCCAGCTTATTGCCATAGGATTTTTCTTTTAACAATATTGGCTGAAACTTAATAAAAATAAATGCTTAAAAATTTTATGATGATTCAGTAGGGTCAGATTAATCAAAATTAATCAATTTTGATATAACTTGTTATTTTATCCCCAAATAACAGTTATCTATGTATTTTTTCTTTTAGGAGTTGACACAAAGTTGAAGTTCACTCTTGAGCCATCTTTAGGTCAGAATGGTTTTCAGCAGGTAACTTTTTTTTTGGTTTTGAAAATATTCTTATTTTGAGGTATCTACAGGGTATGCTGAAATGTATTCTTTTTTTTTTTGAAATATATTCTTAAAGTGGGAAAATTAGCATATACTTTGATATGCATAATAAGACAAATGAGTTTTTAAAAATTATACATAAAATAACTGACTAAGCTACAAGTGGCCTGGGTTTATACTTCCAGTGAAAAATTTTGTACTCTCTGTTAATGGAACAAGCGTGAAAAAATTAAGAAAACCAAACATCTAGTATTCTGAATCCAAAATGCACATTTTTGTTTCTGAACCAGAGCTTTCCTAACCATTGTGTGTACTGCAAATGGGTCATAGGTGTGTTAAGGGTATGTAAGGAGGGGGTCTTGGGGCAGTTATAGCCCTCAGAGCAGTCATATCTAGCTGGAAGAAGCTCTGTTTACCCTAGTGTGCTGTACAAATTTTTCATTTTCTGTGGATGTCAAGATGGAAAAAGGTTTAAAAGTGTTTATCCAGGTAAACAGTATCACTTTGCTAATATTTCTTCTTTGTTCCCTAGTGGTATGATGCTCTCAAGGCCGTTGCCAGACTATCAACAGGAATACCAAAGGAATGGAGAAGAAAGGCAAGGACAATTTGTAGGGCTGAAATACAGAACACAATCACTCTGTCCCTCTTTAAAGTGTCTTGAAAGTCAAAAAGTATATTCTAGATTTAGTAATTTGAAACCTGTTTCTCTTCATTATCTATTCATTCAATAAGTATTTATTGATTATTCTGTGCCAGGCACTGTGGAAACAGCAGCGGAACAAAACACAAACCAAAGTTTTTGTCCTCATGGAGGACAATGAATGCAGCATAAAGTATGTCAGATGTTGCTAAGTGCTGTGCATAAAAATAAAGCAGAGAAAGAAATGGGAGTGTGGGGGAATGGGGATAAGGGGGTGGAATTTTAAACAGCGAGGTGATATTTGAATAGGGCCCTGAAGGAAGTGAACAGTTGGCCACATGCAGCTAGCTGGGGGAAGAGTATGCCAGAGAGGAAATGCCCTCAGGTGAGGGCATCTCAGGAGTATGTATGCAAACAAAAGCAAGTGGCCAGGTGGTTAAGGCACAGTGAACAAAGGGAAAAGCAATTGAAGAGAGACTTGTCAAGATAATGTGATGAGGTAAGGGAATGACAAATCCTATAGAACCTTATAAGCCATAATAATACTTTTGCCCAGTGAGAGATGGGAGTCATTGGGAAATGTTGAACATGGGAGTAACATGCTACAATTTACGATGACCACTCTCATTACAAACTTGAGGATAGGAAATATTCTTGAGAATATGCAGAAGCAGGAAGACCAGTAGAAAACTTGAAATAATTCAGATAAGATATGGATCAGAGTTTTGGTCCATATCAAAAGATGGAGAGATGGGGTCAGATTCTAGATGTATTTTGAAGGCGAGTTGACCTGAATTCCTATTGTATTGAATATAAGGTATAAGAGGTATGTCAATGATGATTTCAAGATTTTAACCTGAGCTTCTGGAAGGGTAGAGTTACTTTTTACTCAGCTGAGAGGAGCAGATGTGTGTGTTTGTATGAATGTATGTGTAGTTGAGGTGGTGGTCAGTTAGATGATTGGTTTTGGATTAATTAAGGTTGAGATGCCAGTTGGGCATTTGGACATATTCTGATGCTTAGGAGAGAAGTCTGGCTGAAGATATTAATCAGTGTTATTCCTGCTCACTTATGTTCAAATGCCAAAACTCAAAATGCTCCCGTAGTATATTAATTTACAAACCTAGTCTTAATACTTTTAAAATTTGAACATTGGGGGTTCCTTGAAATATGCATTAAAATGGCATTATAAAATACATCTTCAGAAATAGCTTTAAAGATAAGGTAATCAAAGAAGTAAAAATATCCACTGGCTCTTTTGAAAAAATAATTATTTATAGGAGTGCATCTTTCAGTTTCTGTGTGTGTGAGAGAGTGATTTAAAGGCAGAGGCCATTCTGTGGTGGTCATTAAATGACCAGGTGGCTGTTGCCCAAGCATAGAGAATAAGTCAGAGCCAAGCAAAACATGCTCACAAGATAATATAGCTAATCCAGTGAACTGAAATAAAATTTGAAAAAATTTAAAATTTTCTTAACTCTCTCTCTACTGGCTGGATCATTGCTTGGTACATAGTAGGAACTCAATAAAATTAATTGAAAGAATTAAAAGCCCTACTTGGTGCAATTCAGTACAGCAAGCATTTCAGTAAAAAGTAGATTTCTGCACGTGGGCTACACCTGGTCTAGAATCAGTTCCCATTTTCTTGTTGGATGCAATAACTTTTTAAATAATGAAAGATAAAATTATGTATTTTACTTTAGCATTCTTTATCTGTTAAATTTTAGGTTTGGTTGACTTTGGCAGATCATTATTTGCACAGTATAGCCATTGACTGGGACAAAACCATGCGTTTCACTTTCAATGACAGGAGTAATCCTGATGATGACTCAATGGGAATTCAGATTGTCAAGGTAATGCCCTGAACTTGGCCTATTATCCTAATTTAGAAGGATTCTAAGAGCCACATGTTTCCTGGACAGAGACTCAAACCTCACAGTCTGAATGTCTGTACATTTTCTGCTTCATCATTTCATTAGATAACAACCTTTTTAAGAAAATTAAAGTATCATTGATATGCAATCTTATGTTGGTTGCAAACATACAACACAGTGGTTCAACAGTTACCCATGTTACTAAATCCTCACCCCCTCTAATGTGGTCACTATCTATCAACGTAGTAAGATGTTACAGAATCATTAACTGTATTCTCCGTGCTGTATTCCCGTACCCATGACCAGCTTATATTGTGATTGCGAATTATTGTGCCCTTCTATTCCCTTTCTCCTCCTCTGGCACCCATTCCAGCCCCTCCCCTTGGTAATCATGTCCCTTCTTGGTGTCAATGAGTCTACTGCTATTTTATTCCTTCTGTTTTGCTGTGTAGGTAACAATCTTTTAGTACGGAATTTTGACTATGTCTTATTTTCATAAATTAGGTTATTGCCAGTAATTAGAAAATGTTTCCATTCATATTCAATTTTTTTATGTTGCTCACATGATAGAAGGGTGAAATTACTTTTTTTTCCTTTAGGATGTGTCAGTGCTGTTAACAGGACTTTTACATAAAAGTCACTGATTGAGAAATTTAAAGTGATGTATATTTCATATTCGAATAATGGGCACTTATTAGGGTCTTCGGTAATTTCTCAGCTGTCAATTTATGAAGATAGTTTTGACTGATGGGTCTACTTAAACCAGAAGCTCAAGGGTTCAGCCAGCTGTGGAGTCAGCTCTGGTTTGTCTACCAGGATTATTAACAGTTCATTACAGCCTGGTGCCAAAAACTAATTTGATTTGCTCTCCCTACTATTCTTACATAAGCCTCTAGCACATTGTTTTTATTTTATATGAGTACATTACAGTGTGATGCTGAGTTGGGGCTTTAAAAAAGTTTTTTCATTTAAAGTTTGACCACCAGGAAATGGTTAATGTTTTGGCAGACTGGAAGATACTTTTTCATGAGGAAGTACTAACTAAAAGGAGCTACTTTGTGGTATAACTTGGTTTGTTTTAGACAAATGCTAAAAAAAAATTATGCAGTATTATTTTATATGCTTGAAAATCCTTTGTACTATATACATTTTAGCTCTTTATTTGGAATTTTGCTATGTTTCTCAGAAAAGAAATCTATATTTGAAATTGTTTCTGTTTAAATTGTACATTAAGGCAATGCACATTTTACAACATGTTATTAAGAAGATCTTTCATTTTTCTCACTAGCAGGAATGCTATGTCAGTAAAGTGACTTCAGCTCCTGAAAATCATAGTCTCTGTTTAGTTATTCAATGTAGATATTGTCCTTATTAAATATTTCTGTCATTTCTGTCCTTTCTACCCAAATTTATAAAATAATTTGGATAGAATGATTTTTCTGTCTTGGGTAAAATGATTTCTCTCTCTCTGCAGTACAGATTGCATTTTTTGCTATTTTGATTTTGCTTCTTAGTAATATTTAGTTTTTGTTAGCTAAATATGTCTTTTTATAGAAAGGAATAATGTTAGCCTTTATCATGCATGTATGAAATGAAATGACTGTTGTTTTATCTGAGACATATTATTAAAACTGTAAATTTATATGTAATTATAATGTAAGTGTAATTTCTGAGTTATTTTTTGTGTTAATTCCAGAAACACTATAAGTAGAAAATTCACCTGGGTGAAGTTGCCCTTGAAAATATCTGTTGGTCAACTACATGAAATTTATTGAGTCAACTCAATAAAAACTGCAAAAAAGGCTTTTAGCATATTAGAAAATATTAGGAAAAAAATTGTTTTGGCCTGTGTATATAAGGTGAATAAACACTTTTAAAAGTATCATTGATATACAATCCTTAGAAGGTTTCACACAGACAACGTGAAACACTGATTTCAACATTCACCCATATTATCAAGTCCTCAGCCCCTCTCTTGGAGTCACTGTCAGTGTAGTAAAATGCTATAGAGTCATTACTTGTATTCTCCATGCTGTATAGGTGCATATACATTTTTAAACAGTAACATTCATGTTGAAAATCTGATTCTCTTTAAGGCTGAGGCAAAAAAATAACTAACGTCATTCTTTTTTGAGAGAATATAAGGAGTTATGTTAAAAAATTTGTTTCCCTCCCATTTTAGGACCTTCACCGCACAGGCTGCAGTTCTTACTGTGGCCAGGAGGCTGAGCAGGACAGGGTGGTGCTGAAACGGGTCCTGCTGGCTTATGCCCGGTGGAACAAGAATGTTGGGTACTGCCAAGGCTTTAACATCCTGGCTGCGCTGATTCTGGAAGTAGTCGAAGGCAATGAAGGGGATGCTCTGAAAGTGAGTATCAGGCTATGAGGAAGGCAACCCAAGTCTTCTGAGAGTGAAATATTGGAACTTTAATTTCTCATCCCTGATGCCCCACCCCTTTCCAAGTGTTTACTACACCTTTGTAATTTCCTGTGAGACCATTCCCCTTAGGTTAAAGCAAGGTCAAGTGAGGAGAATGATTATGTTTTTAGTCTCACTTCTAAGACATCATATTTTTAATGCAGTTAAACACTAATTGTATTAATTACCCATTGCATCACAAATTAGCTGCTTAAATCAGCAAGCATGTATTACCTCACAGTTTGAGTTAGGGATCTGGTGCAGCCAGGCTGGCTCAATGTCACATCACTGTGGCATTCAGACTGTGGGCTAGGGCTGCAGTCTCACCTAAGGCTCGGTTACAGGGAACATGTACTTCCAAATTTGGCCACGTGGTGGTTGGCAGGATTTAATTTCTCACAGGTTGTTGGGCTGAGGGCTTCAGTCTTTTGCTGGCTGTTGGTTGGAGGCTTTTTTTTTTGTTAGTTTCTTGCAGTTGGGACTATACATCTCACAATATGGTGGCTGGCATCTCTTGGGGTGGACAAAAGAATGAGAAAGGTGAAGAGATTGTTACAGGTTTGTGGCTTCATATCAGAAGTGACATTCCATCATTTGGCTGTACTCTGTTAATTAGAAGCCAGTTACTAGGTCCAGCTCATACTCAAAGGGAAGGGCTTAGAAAGGATGTGACTGCCAGGAGGTTGGGGTCACCAGGGGTCATGTTAGAAACTGTCTCCTCTTCCAGTTCTGCTTAATTCTGGCTGGATCTTCTTATTAGGTTCTTTATTCTATCCAGGGGTGAAATCTGGAGGAGAGAGGCTGAGAGTGAATGTCTATGATGGAAGGTGTTTGTGTGGAGAAAGGTTATGGAAGTGAATTATAGTTATTAACTTTTAATCTTTGATGCCTAGAACCAATAAAATAAAATAAAATAAAAGTTCTGGAAGCACTTTGAGCTGGGAAGCTAGCAATTTAAGCTCACAGGTCTGTGAATTACCAGGAATAATTTTTATGAGAAATGAAGCATTTCAAATGTGCAGGATGGCCACTGCCTTATTTGCTTGGGGGAATATGGGGTTACTAATTCACATTTGAACCCTCCAACTGCTGTTGATTGCAATGCCTTGTGATGAATAGGATGGATACCTAGTCTTTGTATTTAAGAGCACCCCTCAACTCTGTGTTTGTTTGTGGTGAATACCTTAGTGATTTCCTCCTGGTTTTATATACATCAGGTGTAATTAATTATAAATCCACCCTGATATAATTAAATCTGTATTCACCCTCTCACGTTTTTTTTTTCATGTATTTAGGGTAACAGCTTTGAAGCTACTTGTTTGTCAAATAGGTGGGGGTAGGAGGAGGCAGGGACAAATCAAATATATGAATTTAAAATATTGTTAATTAAGCAATTTTGTTTACTCAGTCTATCAGCTTTAGGCAATTTTTTTTCAAATATAATTTGTATGACTATAAAAAGAGAGCTGTTTTGTTGAGAAGTTAATTGAGGGTGGAGTGGAGAGGTTTGGGAAAGGGGATATACATGCCAGTCAGATCATGAAAGGGCCCTGTGATACTTGAGAATCTAAAAATCTGCATTAAAAAGATGGATTAGATGAAGTTGAGAAACTGAATATTTATATTTCTGCCTCTAAGAAAATGAACTCCATGGAATTAAATGTCATCATCATCATTTTAATCTTGTGGTTAGACATTTAATTTGCATAGGAAGGTTGGATTCATGAAGAAACACTTCTGATGCAAAAGAAAATATGGACTCTCATTGTTTTCCCAGCAGTTACTTTGGCCTCTGCAAGCTGCAATTGTTAGGGAAGTATATAGTTTATTAGAAGTAGGTAAACTATGTTTTTTCAGCACTTTCTATTTTTTCTTAGTAACTTTTTAACAATTTGTTAAAAATTCAAGGCTCCACCATTCCTATATATATATTTTTAAAAACACTTTAATTTTCTAGAACAGTTGTAGGTTAAAATTGAGAGAAAGGTCCAGAGATTTTCCATATACCTCTTGCCCCCATAAATACACAGCCTCCTCTACTATTAACATCACTCACCAGAGTGGTGCATTTGTCAAAATCAGTGAACCTACATAGATACACATTAATCACTTAAAGGCTATGATTTACATTGGGTTCACTCTTGATGTTGTACATTCTGTGGGTTTGGACCAATGTATACTAGCATGTATTCATCATTACAGTATCATAAAGAGCATTTACACTACCCTAAAAACCCTCTGTGCTCCCCTTACTCATCCCTCCTGTCCCTACCACTCCCACCTCAACCTCTGATACTTTTATTCTCTCTGACAATTTTGCCTTTTCCAGAATGTCATATAGTTGGAATCATATAGCATATAGCCTTTCCAGATTGGCTTCTTTCACTTAGTACTATGCATTTAAGTTTCATCCATGTCTCTTCATGGCTTGATAACTCATTTCTTTTTAGTGGTGGAAAATATTCCATTGTCTGGATGTACCACAGTTTATTCATTCACCTACTGAAGGACATCTTGGTTGCTTCCAACTTTTGGCACTATGAATAAAGCTCCTCTAAATGTCCATGTTCAAGTTTTTGTGTGGATATAAGTTTTCAACTCCTTCAGGTGAATACCAAGGAGTGTGATTGATGGATCATATAGGAAGAGTATGCTTACTTCTGTAAGCAACTGCCAAACTCTTTTCCAGAGTGGCTATACCACTTTGCAGTCCCACCAGGAGTGTATGAGAGTTCCTGTTGCTCTACATCTTCACCAGCATTTGGTGTTACCTGCTTTCCATATTTTGGCTGTTCTAATAGGTGTGTAGTGGTAATCTCATTGTTGTTTTAATTGAACTTCCTTGATGACATATGATACAGAGCATCTTTTCATGTGTCTCTTTGCCATCATATGTTCTTAGATACAGTGTCTGTTAAGGTCTTTGGTCAATTTTTAATCGGATTGCTGGTTTTCTTATTGTCGATTTTTAAAAGGTCTCTGTATATATTGGATAACAGTCCTTTATCAGGAATTTTGCAAATATTTTCTCCCAATCTATGGCTTGTTTTCTAATTCTCTTTGACATTGTCTCTCACAGAGCAGAAGTTTTTAATTTTAATGAATTCTAGCTTATCAATTATTTCTTTCATAGATTGTGCCTTTACTGTTGATCAAAAGAGTCATCATCATACCTAAGGTCATCTATGCTATGTTATCTTCTAGGAGTTTGATAGTTTTGTATTTTACATTTAGGTACATGATCTATTTTGAGTCAATTTTTGTGAAAGATGTAAGGTTTGTCTCTAGATTCATTTTTTTACCTGTGGATGTCAAGTTCTACCACCATTTGTTGAAGAGACTTTTTGCTTACTTGCCATTATTATTATTAATTAATTAATTTATTAAGGTATCATTGATATACAATCTTATGAAGGTTTCACATGAGCAGCATTGTGGTTACTACATTCCCCCCTATTAACAAGTCCCCACCACATACCCTATTACAGTCACTGTCCATCAGCATGATAATATGCTATAGAGTCACTACTTGTCTTCTCTGTGCTATACGGCCTTCCCGTGCCCCCCCTACCTTATGTATGCCAATCATAATACCCCTTAATCCCCTTCTCCCTCCCTTCCTGTCTGCCCTCCCCACCCCCTTTCCCTTTGATAACTGCTAGTCCCTTCTTGGGGTCTGTGATTCTGCTGCTGTTTAGTTCCTTCAGTTTTCCTTTGTTTTTATACTCCACAAATGAGTGAAATCATTTGGTACTTGTCTTTCTCTGCCTGTCTTATTTCACTAGCTCCATCCATGTTGTTGCAAATGGTAGGATTTGTTTTCTTCTTTTATTTATTTATTTATTTAATTTTAAATTTTGTTATTTTGCTATCATTAATATACAGTTACATGAGCAACATTGTGGTTACTAGATCCACCCCATTATCAAGTCCCCACCACATACCCCATTGCAGTCACTGTGCATCAGCGTAGTAAGATGCTATAGAGTCACTACTTGTCTTTTCTGTGCTACACTGCTTTCCCCGTGCCCCACCCTCCTATATTATGTGTGCTAATTGTAATGCTCCTTATTCCCCTTATCCCTCCCTTCCCATCCACCACCCCAGTCCCTTTCCCTTTGGCAACTGTTAGTTCATTGGGTTCTGTGAGTCTGCTGCTGTTTTGTTCCTTCAGTTTTTTCTTTGTTCTTATGTTCTACAGATGAGTGAAATCATTTGGTACTTGTCTTTCTCCACCTGGCTTATTTCACTTAGCATCATACCCTCTAGGTCCATCTATGTTGTTGCAAATGGTAGGATTTGTTTTCTTCTTATGGCTGAATAATATTCCATTGTGTATATGTACCACATCTTCTTTATCCATTCATCTACTGATGGACACTTAGGTTGCTTCCATTTCTTGGCTGTTGTAAATAGTGCTGCAGTAAACCTAGGGGTGCATATGTCTTTTTGAAACTGGACTCCTGCATTCTTAGGGTAAATTCCTACAAGTGGAATTCTTGGGTCATAAGGTATTTCTATTTTTAGTTTTCTGAGGAACCTCCATACTGCTTTCCACAATGGTTGAACTAGTATACATTCTCACCAACAGTGCAGGAGGGTTCCGCTTTCTCTGCATCCTCACCAGTATTTGTTGTTCCTTGTCTTTTGGATGTTGTCCATCCTAACTGGTGTGAGGTGATATCTCATGGTGGTTTTAATTTGCATTTCCCTGATGATTAGTGATGTGGAGCATTTTTTCATGTGTCTGTTGACCATCTGAATTTCTTCTTTGGAGAAGTGTCTGTTCAGATCCTCTGCCCATTTTTCAATCGGGTTATTTGCTTTTTGCATGTTGAGGAGTGTGAGCCCTTTATATATTTTGTATGTTAAACCCTTTATTGGATATGTCATTTTTTAATATATTCTCCCATACTGTAGGATGCCTTTTTGTTCTATTGATGATGTCCTTTGCTGTACAGATTTTTAGTTTGATGTAGTCCCTTTTGTTCATTTTTGCTTTTGTTTCCTTTGCCCGAGGAGATGTGTTCAGGAAAAAGTTGCTCATGTTTATATTCAAGAGATTCTTACCTATGTTTCTTCTAAGAGTTTTTTGGTTTCCTGACTTACATTCTGGTCTTTTATACATTTCAAGTTTACTTTTGTATGTGGAGTTAGACAGTAATCCAGTTTCATTCTCTTAAATGTAGCTGTCCAGTTTTGCCAACACCAGTTGTTGAAGAGGCTGTCATTTCCCCATTGTATATCCATGGCTCCTTTATCATATATTAATTGGCCACATACACTTGGGTTTATATCTGGGCTCTCTATTCTGTTTCATTCATCTATGGGTCTGTTCTTGTGCCAGTACCAAATTGTCTTAAAGACTGGCTTTGTAGTAGAACTTGAAGTTGCAGAGCATAATTCCCCCTTCTCAGGATTGCTTTGGCTTTTCTGGGTCTTTTGTGGTTCCATATGAATTTTAGAACAATTTGTTCTAGTTCCTTGAAGAATGCTGTCAGTATTTTGACAGGGATTGCATTGAATCTATACATTGCTTTAGCCAGGATGGCCATTTTGACAGTATTAATTCTTCCTATCCATGAGCGTGGGATGTATTTCCATTTATTGGTGTCTTTTTAAATTTCTATCAAGTATGTTTTACAGTTTTCAGAGTATAGGTCTTTCACACCATAATTTATCTTAATTTTTAAAGATCTAATATTTTGTGTTTGAAGTGCAGTAGTAGTAGGTGGAGTACCTGACATAAGCCATAGCTGGCTCTTATTCTTACATCAGACTTCAAGATGTCTTTAGACAGAGAATTTCTTTGTGTCACTAGAATTACTATGGTAATTGGATTTTTTTTTCTTATTTCCTTTGATTTTGAGTGATCATAATTTCTTTAAAAACTTAAGGTTCTATTTTGGTTTTATATCAGATGAAAAGTACAGTACTGGATAGACTGTTACCTTTAAATTTTGCCTTTGTGATCCTGTAAATCCTCTTCTTACTTGTAGAGTGCGAAGTCCCCACCAGGACACTGTGCTCTGCAGGATCTCTGTTTTCCCCCTCAATTGGCCCTTGTCTTTCCAGGACCTCCTCCCTGCACACAGATTGAATATATTCCTTTTTATTGCTAAGCTCTTATTTACAAGTAATGATGTACTTACCTGATAAATTCTATCCCATCTAAGGCTGAGGAGGCTCCCTGGGCCTGCCCACTCCTATAATAAAGGTCTCAGAGCAGTCTTCTCAAGATTATGGCCCAGCCTTTATTGACTTAGTCAAAACTATGATCCTAAAAGTAGAAATTATAAGTCAGGGATGAGGGAAATATGGGACTTTGTCAGGTATGGGAGATAAATATTTTTGGAAAATGGATTTTGTGATACGCTGGAAATCAAAATGGGAGACAGCTGGTTTCTCTAACAACAGAAATCTGAAAGGTCTGATAAGAAGGCAAGCTGCCTACATAAGTCAAGGTCAATAACTCCTCCCCATCATAAATGCTGAGGAGATGATGTGGCAAGAATTCCATAATGTTTAAAAAAATTCCATGTATGTTAAGGGCTTATCTCATCATAGCGGCACATTATTGTGGATATGTAGGTGAAACCAGACATTTTTAAGAAAATCTGTAAATAGGTGTACTTTTTCCAAATGCTGCTCTAAATTACTTAATAGGATTTATTTGTCTTACATTTATTTAAAAAAATAGTGCATAATAAGACTATAAATATGCCATTTTCTTTCAGTTATAATGTTCTTAATATTATTCCTGAATATACTGTGATGTCAGTAAGCTTTTTAGTTCATTTTTTATTTAAAAAATATAGGGTCAGCTATGATTTTTATTTTTCCTTTTGTTTGTCTTGTTCTCTAGGGAATGAGCAGTTCCTCTAGAGAGGAGAGCATAAGGAGGGAAGGTGCAGACTGACAGGGAAAGGACCAGAGGTGGACATATGAACTCCTCTGTGTTTTTCTGTGTCATTCTAGTGGTTCTTGACCTCTTAGAAAAGATAACACAAAATAGAAAAGTCAGAATGCAGATAGTAAGTTAAATAACTTGTGAGACAATCTTACGGAAGAAATTCTGATTTAAAAAGTTCTATTTGTTCAAACAAAACTTTGTTGCATTCTCCCAGAAGAGGAAAGTGGATAAAAAACCAACATCAGTTTTTCAAATAGCCCAGGTTGATGGTAAGTGAATCTCAAGACCTGCTTTAGCCTGGAGTGTTTTATGACAGGCCAGCTTTTGGTTTTTATGTTTGCTTGTTCATCTTGATTAAAAGTGTGCTGACATCAAGGAGCTAATACTGAGGTTCCTGCTGGCTGCTGATGAAACACATACTCTGGCACTTCTCAGCATGAGGCTGAGGGTTGTGTAATCACAGCTACTTGTGAAGTGAGCCCAGGTCTAGGGGCCCATCTAGGAATTTTAGACAGCAGCTGACTTCAGGTCTGAGTTACTTAGATAATTATGCCCACCCACTCCTTACCCAGGGTGGAGGTGAGCCTTGAAAATCCAGAACGTGGGGTACTGACACATTTAAAGGATAATGTGCTTTGGCTAACTGCGTTTTATCTATTTGAATATGTTCTTTCTGTTTAGGACATGTTAGGATACTTTTTAAAAAAATTTTATTAATGTATCATTGACATGCAACCTTATGATGGTTTCACATACCCAACATAGTGGTTCAACATTCACCCATATTATCAAGTCCTCACCCCCTCCATTGCCGTCACAGCCTATCTACATAATAAGATGTTATAGAGTCATTAATTAATTGGTTTTTATGAAGCAGTCTTATTCTTTATTTTTTTCTTCAGATTATGATTTACCTTATTGATAAGGTGCTTCCTGAAAGCTATTTTGTCAATAATCTGCGGGCATTGTCTGTGGACATGGCTGTCTTTAGAGACCTCTTGAGACTGAAGCTCCCGGAGTTGTCTCAGCACCTGGATATTCTTCAGAGAACTGCAAACAAGGAAAGTGGAGGTAGTGATGATTCACTGTTATTAGACCTCTGAAAATATTTTACTTCTCTGATTCCACTATACATGTGAGCCTAAACCTTGAATCGAAAGACCTGTTTTCAGGGTGTTTCTATTGGTGAGTTTGATGCAAGGAAACAGATTTCTAAAGAACAAAAATAAAACTGAAAAAAAAATAGGCCCGCATGTTGAACCTCTAACTGGTCATGGTTAGGAAGTTAGTCAAGAACCTAATACTTCAACCAGTACCAGATCAACAACTAAAATGATATACTGTACTCTAGATGAAAAACAGTGTCCATGTCTTAGCATCTACTTAAACTGTTCTAAGCTGGCACCAGTTCTTTAAAACTGAGCTGCAAGTATAATTTAGCACAAACTTTGGTTTTGCCTGAACCACTGAGGTTATAGAGAATGGAATATGCATTTTCATAAAGTTGCAGAAGGTAAAAGCAGTCTTTTGGATTGAAATGTTTAAGGTTCCTTTTGTTTATTCATGCTAAGGCTAATGAGATTTACTTGAGATGAATGGGCCAGTTCTTTCTGGAAAAGGGCTCCTCTGGGCTTCTGGATAGAATCTGATCCCTGAAGGAAGGCCCTGGGTTGAGTGGGGTGCGGGTGGAGAGTCACTGCTATCTGGTGGGCATCATCCAGCTTTCCGGAGTACCTGAGCTAGCAGCTGTCATTATACGCACTGCTTGCACTTGCCTGGCTGGGCTCAGAACCCCAGAAAGAACACTCAGAAGTTTATTGTGTTTCTGCTAAATGGTGCCAGTTCTCAACATATGCATTTATATCTGGGAAAATATGAAAGGATTTTGAGGACCTAATCTGTGATTAAAATACCCTGGAGATTTTAGTGACACCTGGGTGTCTTTAAGTGTTTCCTTCTAATCCATTTGAGTAATCTTCTCATTTAATTTGCCTGTACAGTATTTTCATGCACCTGTGTGGATCATAAAGCTTCCTGATAGACCAGCCTTGCCTGGCCATAGTCAGACATGCTTGACTGGGCTCCCATTTCCCCCAAGTGCCCTGCACTTGCCTGTAAGCTGTGACCTCAGTTCTAGTCTCTGACCAACATACTCCTTTGTTCTTGGTAAGAAGGAAAAAAGTGAATGCAGGAAAGCAGATCTGTTTTTGTTCATACTTGGATAAATGCGTAACCTGACTAATTTGGAGGGACGATCAGTCCAAATATGTATATATTTATATTTCATTAAAATATATACATATGCCCTAACAGGAAGTGGGAAGGAGCTCTGTGGTTTTAGTAATTCAGAAACTTTATAAAGTGAGCTGGATCCTAGATCTTTATTTATTTATTATTATTATTTTTAATTTTTTATTAAGGTATGATTGATATACACTCTTATGAAGGTTTCACATGAAAAAACATTGTGGTTACTACTTCACCATATTATCAAGTCCCCACCCACACCCCAGTGCAGTCACTGTCCATCAGTGCAGCAAGTTGCCAGATGGATCCTAGATCTTTAAAACTGGATATAATTTAGTTAAAAATTATTTAAATGTTTGTGTTTAATCTCCACATATTTTGGGATTTTCCAGTTATCTTTCAGTTATTGATTTGTAGTTTAATTCCATTGTGGTCTGAGAACTGTGTATAATTTAAGAATTAGACAAGTAATTCATATGAGCAATTTTATTTTTATAAGCAGTAAGTTGAATAAAAAGGGACTCTATGAGGTTTTGAAAATTGGTTTTTGCTTTTGAGAGGCTAATATTGTTTTTATCTTGTTTTGGTGAGTAAAATATTCTCTTTATTTTTTTAACACCCCACTATGTGTAGAGTTTAACTAAAAAATTGAGTTTTAGGTTAAGATTTTTGAAATATCAAAAAGAATTTGTGAAGTTCATATTTGAGATTTTTATTAAACACATCTATGTTCTTCCAAGAAAATGAAGGAAAAAAGGAGGAAAGCTAGAATTTGGAGATTTAAAAAAATCAGCCACAAAATGTACATATTTGGGTGGACACAGTAGACGGAAAGAGGGCATTTTTATATCTTGCCAAGCATCAATGCTGAAGAAATGCAGTGTTTGTTTCATTTCAGGTGGATATGAGCCCCCGCTCACGAATGTCTTCACAATGCAGTGGTTTCTGACTCTCTTTGCTACGTGCCTCCCTAACCATACAGTTCTAAAGATTTGGGATTCAGTCTTCTTTGAAGGCTCAGAAATCATCTTAAGGGTGTCGCTGGCTATCTGGGCAAAATTGGGAGAGTAAGTGATTTCCCTCTCCTTTTCTGTTCTGTGGTGTGGAGGGTGTTAAGCAATTTTTGTGCTCTATTGTGTAAGACACGTACATATAAGTGGGAAGAAAAGAGGAAGTGGTGAACTTTGTTCAATTCCTTTAGCCTTCTGAGATCTCAGCTGGCTCATTCTTGATTGTCGGGGGCCAAATGAAAACTATTATAGAGAAGGGAGCAGATCTCCTCCTCCTCGTCTTCAGTGCCAGTGTTGGGGCTGGTTTCCTCTTTGTCAGCATCTCTTTGGACCCTCGTTGGAAAGAGGGAGAGGGACTTAAATGGAAGAGACACTGGAAGGTCTGGAGAGGGGTAGGTGAGTTTGTTAGTTAATGTTAGAATTTAGATTATTTTTGAAGCTTTATATTTGTCCTGCCTTTCAGGACTGTGATAACATTAAATGAGATAATATGTATAAGGCATCTAGCGTGATATTTAGTATATAGTCAGTAGTAGAACACATGGAACTTCTTTCCTTTCTTCAATAATTACTTGAATGTTGAAATCTATTACTGCCAAGTCTATTACCAAATAGATTTTACTTACTTTCCTTACTAGTAGCAGGGCTGTAAAAACTATAGTATTTTCAACCATCTCTACTATATTATAACTATTACATTAAAATGCTATTGTGGGGTAATGGAAGAAACATTAGAAAGAAATTGTTATAGTTAAGATGTGGAGAAGTTTTTGATATTTCTTTTCTAGAGCTATATATGACTTGAGTGGGTTCCCATAGACAGTATGTCAGAAAACTAATAAATCAGTGCCAGGGTTTATTTCAAAAACCTTTTAGCTAGCCTTTTTATTTATAAGTTGTTTCCTGGGAGACTTGCAGCATTTTTTACTTTTTGCAAGAAAAGTATCACCAACTATCAATTCAGGGATTTAAAAAAATCATTATTGTAAGTATTTTTCAACATCACATAGCCATCTCTTTTGCCTTTGTTTTATTGTACATTGCTTTACAGTTGGAGAAACAAATTTGTCTGTCGGGGATTTGGTGTGCTATTTACCTATTTTTCCATTTTCTCCCGATACCTGCCTCTTTCTGCAGTCATGTATTTCCAACCTACTCTGTATCTTATAAACTCTTTGAGCTTTGATAGTTTCCCTGGATGTGAGAGTCTGGCTCCTGAGCAGCTAGTTTACAGGATTAAAGAGGTGGAGCATGAGTCAGGTATAGCCACCTTTGTGTCAGGTCTTAATGATGGGGCAGGAGGAAAAAAGGTGATTCTGGTTTAATTCTCATCTACCCATTGTCTGTAGGATCCAAATTTATAAATGTGGTCCTCCCAGAGATGTCACACTATTTAAAATGATAATAGCTACACTTAAAATCCGGTATGTACCTTGAGTGCTTGCAGTGGACAGGTGTGGTTCTGAGTGCTCTAGATGTAAAATTAACTCTTTTAGCCCTCACCATCATCCTATGAGGTAGGTACTGTTATCAGTCCTGTTTTACAGAGGTGAGAACTGAGGCACTGAGAAGTTAAGAAATTTTCCTCAAGTCACCCAATTAGTCAGTTGAATAGCCTGATTTGGGACCCAGGTATCCTGGCTCTAAAATCTGTGCTTTTAAGGATGTGAATCTACTGATAATAAATGGTTACTGTTATGAAGTTCAGGGCATCTACGAATCACACTCATAGAATATTTATTTATTTATTTATTAAATTAAAGTATCATTGACATACAGTCTTATGATGATTTCACATATACAACGCAATGGTTCATCATTCACCCATATTATCAAGTCCTCACCCCCTCCACTGTGGACACTGTCCATTGACATAGTAAGATGTTATAGAGTCATTAACTGTTTTCTCTGTGCTGTACTACCGTCCCTGTGACCTACCTATATTGTGATCGTGAATTATAGTGCCCTTAAATCCCCTTCTCCCTCCCCCTGCATCCTTCCCAACCCCTTCCCTTTGGTAACTACTAGACCCTTCTTGGTGTCTGTGAGTCTACTGCTATTTAGTTCCTTCTGTTTTGCTTTGTTGTTATACTCCACAGATGAGTGAAATCATTTGTAACTTGTCATTCTCTGCCTGGCTTATTTCACTGAGCGTAATTCCCTCTAACTCCATCCACGCTGTTGCAAGTGGTAGGATTTCTTTCTTTCTGTGGCTGAATAATATTCCATTGTATACATGTACCACATCTTCTTTATCCATTCATCTATTGATGGGCACTTAGGTTGCTTCCTTATGTTGGCTATTGTAAATACACTCACAGAATTTTAAATGTTTCACAGAATTTTAAATGTTTCACAGCCTTTGCTCATTATAATTCTACATTTTGAGCATGCAACTTGTTAAGCCTAAAGGAGAGGCAACCAATGTAAATCCTCAAGTGCCTACAGTGCCATCATTATGTTAGGCAGCTTCAGCACATTATTTCATTTGAGTCTCCCCAGCACCCAGGGGAGTAAGTAGAATTATTTTCCCTTCCTTTTCAAATGAGAACACTACCCCAGGAAGGTTGATTAAGTAGTTCCCCGTCACACAGCTAGTGATAGCAGAGCTGGGACTTCACCCTGGATCTTTCTGATTCTGGTGCCTGTAATCTTTCCCCCAAAACTTCCGCTGGAGAAATCATAAACAGCACACAGCAATCTCCAGTTTATGTATACATGAGAATATACATATGTGGGCCCTTTTACCTTGCTTCTGCAGCTTGGATTTTCTTCCTCTCACTCACACCAAGGCTACTTTTGGGATAGGCAAGCTACGGCCCATCAATTTACCTTTGTTGGCGTCTCTCTGTCGTATGCCTGTGATCCTGTGCTTGGCTCATTCCCTCATCAGCTCAGGCCTGGCGTTGTGCAGTGTGTCCTCCCAGGTGTCCCAGTCATAGCCTAGGCTTGCCATGGCAGCTCCAGGCCAGCCTTGTCAAGGGCACTTCTGAGCCCACACTCCCTGTGAAACGCCTTTAGGGACTCTTGGCCTGAAGAGATGCAGCTGGCAGGTAAGGCCACCTGCTCTCTGCCTGCAGTTCTCACTGGCTCCCTCTGGCTAGGCACCCCCTGCCCTCCACTGCTCCTGCCCCCACTCTGGGTGTGTGGAGCGACTTGCAGATCCTGGGGCAGAGCCTCCTGCCTTCGGTGTCCATCTTTGGAATGCATTTTCTTCCTTGTCAGCATGGAAAATAGTATCCAAAACTCATCTCAAGCATTGTTTCTCTTCGTCAGCCCTCAGCATAAACCTAACTACATTTTCCTTTTCACTTGCTACTCTCTATTTTTGTAATAGTACTCCAACCATTTATTTCATTTATTTATTTACATGGTTATATGACTGGATTTGAAAAACACTCCAGAACCTGAAATTTTTCCATCATCGTATTTTTTTTTGATGGCTCTATGGAAATACCCCAACATTATACTATGTCAAAGCTTACGTCTTTTGTTGGAGGGCAAAGAGAGTTATCCTAGTATACAAAGAACACCATGATAGATGAAACATAAATATGTAGTGCCCTTTGCTTTGCACTTCTCTTTTTTTCTCCCTCTGGAAGGAGGATTAAAGTCTAATCTGCTTCACAGGGTGCCAGATGACCAATCCTTTATTTACTTGTACAACCAAATGTAGAAAGTAGGGTATAATCTCCAACTAGCATGAATACCCTGAGAAGAACTGAAAAAACTATGTCTGTGAAAACATCCTGTGACCTGATGAAATATGCAGATAAAATTCTTGTTTTTTTTATCTTTCACTTTGACTGTGGTTTGGTTTTAGTCTATCAGTGATGTCACAGTTTGCAGAGTAAAGTAATAGATTCCCTACAGGGGATAATTGTTCTTCAGTACCTAATTTCCTGGTTATTGTCTCTGATCAGTCGTGGGTATTCTGATGTGTAGAATGTGGCACATGGAAATAAAGATGCCTCAAGTGGGGCTGTGAATCTGGGGAGAAGTATAGGAAGGACAGGAACTCATCCAATAGTACATACCTAGGAGTTGCCTTTGGGTTTTTTTAATCTTTCCTCTGCATAGGGCAGGCTGATTCCTAGGACTGTGATTTTTGTTGACTGCTAACTTGATTGATTTGATGGCAAGAGGTAACACATCCTGTTGTACCTGCAGTGTGTACCCACAGCATGGGTGTCCTAAGCAATTCCTTTTTCTGTCCTTTCTTTAGTCAGATAGAATGTTGTGAAACAGCAGATGAATTCTACAGCACCATGGGGCGCCTTACCCAGGAGATGCTAGAGAATGACCTTCTGGAAAGCCATGAACTCATGCAGGTAAGTGGGCAGCATGGCCCTGCCTAGGCTCAGGGAACCCTGGTTCGGGGGAGTGAGTGGTGCCACAGTAGCAGTCTTGGGAAATGTATTTGGCCAGCCCTTTGAGTTTTACAATTGACCAAGAGTCTGTGTAAAATTTGATAAGAACTATCCACATCACAAGAGGAAGGAAGGAATAAATAATGGATATTTGTCACAGCTTTCATTCAACTTGTGTTGCTTACAAATTGTAAGGTGATGCCCAACCCTGGGCTTGCCCAGTGTTGTCCTTGGGCCTTTGTTCCTTCCTGCCTATGGTTTCTCTACGTTTTCTTGGTTTCAACTTTTACCTTGTGTTGGGTTCCATGGTTAAGGTTGGGTTTGGGTGCTGGGACCCAGCCAACAGACTAGATACTGAAGACTAATGTCCTGATTTAGGACTTGAGAAGTGAGGGGCTCCCATTCCTTTACTCATTTCCTGGCACCCCCAGCTCCTGCTCAGAATCCCTTATTGTTTGCAGATAGCCACTGATTTATAGAGAATATTTTCTGCCTGGTATAACTTCTCTGAGCATTCATATTTTTTATTTCAACTTTTCTTTGCATTCTCACCTCTTCTTTCTTCCTTCCTGTCTCAGAGGAGGAGGGGTTCTCTGACCCTGACATCTGTGCTCTGATTCCAACTCTTCTCATTTATCCTGGGGCCATTGTTTCATTGCTCTTTCCCTCTCTTGGAGTGAAGTGCTTCTTTTTGAACATGGCTCTGTGTGCAAGACCCATGCTATGAGATTCCCTACATCCTGTAGAGCTGCCTGACTGATGGCCCAGAGCAGGACTCTGAGGCCTCATTCCTTCTCCCTCACTCATGCAATGTCAGGGGCCACTCACTGCCTACAAAGAAAGTATGCGTTTCTCAGCTTATCATCCAGTGCTATTGACTATCTCGTGTTAACCTGTCTTTTCAGCTGTACTTCCTTTTCCTCCTGTGTACCCTTGACCTATTTCAGTCAAGTCACACTATCTTCCGCACTTCCAGAAATGCCTGGAATTTGCCTCCTCTCTTCCTTTGCTCCATGTTTAAAGGCCAGCCTCTTTGTGAAAGTTCCTGTTCTGATGCCATCTCCTTTGTGAAACTTTCTGACAGTCTCAAGTAAAATAACCTCTCACATCTTTGAATCAGCACCACATTTTCTTTGTACCTCTCTTGTTCATCACACCCTACCTTGCTTTGAGACTGTATCCTCTTTCCTCTCTGATATTTTAAGTTACTTGAGGACAGAGACTGTGCTTTTCTTGAACACTTGGCACTTCGCCTTTTACAAGAGCTGCTCAATATATGAAATCATTAAGTAAACATCTATTGAGAGTCAGCGATTAGTCTTCTTCCTCCTCTCTTTAGTAAATGTATGCTGAATTAAACAACCCTCATAGATGATCATGGCCTTCCCTCCAGGATTCTTCAGCTCTAATGTAATCAGGGTTTTGTGGCCAGAGTATGGTCCACACTTACTGCTTTGCCATTTCACTGTTCTGCATAAAACCAGTGCTTCCTTGTATTAACTGTAGCAAATAAAATGCTTCAGCCTAGTTTTATAGGCCCTATATTAACTTCTCCAAATATTTATTGAGTGTCTTTATCTGTCAAAGTACTTCCTTGAGGGAATTAATGTCCAGTTTTACCTTTAAAGATTAATAGGAGTTCATCAGGCTCTGTGTGTGTGTGTGTGTGTGTGTGTGTGCATGCGTGTGCATACACATGTAAAGGTGAGTGGGTATGTACTGGAGGACATGGTGCAGAGTAGAGAGGCATTTTGTGGTTGAGCATGAGCAAAGTGATGGCAGTGAAAAACCTGATGGTGTGTGAAGGAAACTACAAGGAGTTTGGTGTTCAGGGATGGGTTATGGAAGACCACAACCCACTTAAGTAAGGAGCTTGATCTCTTAGGTTAGTGGTTTTGAAATGATGTTTCCTGGAGTTCTAGAGATTCTGTGGAGCTTTTGAAAAGAACTGTGTAACCTGAAAAGTCTTAAGGAGCGGAGGGGAAAGGTCTGAGTTGCGTCTCATGTTGACTGCAGGGGCAGCTCTGTGAGGGATGGACTTGAAGGGGTCAAGTCTGATAGCAGAAGGCCTCTGAGGGGGCAGTGAAGGGTACAGATATAAGAAAGGAACAGAGACAATACTTGTAAGGTGAATGATAGGACTTAGCCATGGAAAATGGATATAGGGCAGGGGAGAACGGAATGGGGGAGACGAGCAGTCCCAAGTTTCTGGCTTAGGAAGAAGAGTGTGAGTTTATTGCAGGGAGGAAGGTGGGTTTGCTTAGAGTCAGGCTTTGCCTGCCCCAATCCGCCTGTCCAGAGATGTTCCCCGCTACTTCACAGCTGGAACCTACTACACGGGTCACAGCTCCGTGCCCCCCGGGCCTCTCAGTTCATGTGCATTCCTGTGACCCGGCTGCGGGTCCCTCTGACGCCATCTGTGGAAATCGAATCTGCCCGCCTGGGTACTGCTCAGTCTCTTCTCTCCCCACCCCTCAGCCTCCTTGATGATGCCTCCTTCAACCTCCTTCAGCACTAAAGGTTTTTAATAATTGATTTAATACTAATCGTAGGTTATTTTGTATTCCTTATTTTTTCAAATATGTTAATCTATTTTTTCTGATGAAGGAGCAAGTTCCTTAATGACTGGAGCCTCATATTACTCTGTATCCTCACAACACCTAGCATGGTGCTAAGAATACATCTGGTTGCTCAATGAATACACTGTCTTAGAATGTTAGGACTTGAGGCAGTGATTTTCAAACTTGACTGTGCATAAGAATCATTTCAGGAATGTATTAAAAGGCAGATACTTATCCCATGGGTGGTTCTGATGTAAAACCTTTAAACAACTCTTAGGAAAAAACACTGGCTTAAAAGAAGTTTAAAGATCAACTAGCCTCGCTCTTTACTGACCTAGTCACTTTGCAGAGAGGAAACTAAAGCTCAGAGAGTGAGCATCTTCCCAGTTTCTTAGATTGTCTAGTGGCAGAGCCAGGCCTGAGGTCCAGGTACTTGGCTCCTAGCATGCTTTTCCCCCACCACCTGGCACACTGCTTCCACCTTATTCAAAACATGTCTTTCTAAAGCTGAATTCCTCTTTAGAAGAATAGGACAACGTTTTATTTTACTTGAAGTTTAGACGTTGCTGTAACGAATGAGAATATGGTATGTTGACATATGCCGTCTTTGTCCTGTAGAAATTTCCAGTCTTAGGTATTTGGGGAAAAAAGAACTACTTCTTTACCCTGCTTTAAGAAAATCCTAGAGGGAAAAATATAGGTTGTGGTTTGGTTGATTCAATTCCATTTCAGTAACATTTCTCCTGCCCAGGAAGACGTCTGGGTGAAGATGAACTAAGCCTAATTTTTGTACAACTTGCGTTTTCATATTTCTTGTAAAACATGTCAGTAATGAGGAAAGAAATCTAATTCCTTTTTAGCAGAGCCTGAATATAGATGTCTATGTAAGTGCGTTTTGTTAGTTTGGATAGTAAATTGACTTGTTGGCTTCCCTTGGCGTCACAGAGTATTAAGGAGAAAAATGGTTAATGTTATTTCAAGCCACTCTTTTCTGTATTCAGTGTTTTTTTAAAAAAATTAATTCAATGGCTGTGATCCAAGTATGGTAGACCATAAATCTGCCAGCAAACCTGAAGTCGCTCCAGATGAAAAATGCAGACTGCCTGTAAGGTCTTTATTTTTGAGCTGAGGAGATGAAAGGATTCTCCTTGTTTGTCTTCCAGCATATCTTTCAGTTCTAAGGGTCATACATAAAATAATTTCCTGGGATTTTTTTCCTCTGTAAATTATCACTCTTTTTTTCTTTATTAGCAATGGTGTATTGATAGTGTTTGGAAAAAACAGTGCCAGTGAAATAGTGTATGTGGATTTTAGTACGACAAAATCTCTCATGAATTCCTTCATGGAATAGAGAGAAAAGTTAGATGCTATTAGAAGGGGTTTGCAGGTGTTTGGAAAAACCTAACCCAAGTGCTCATCAATAACGTGATGTTACCTGAGGGGAGCTCTCATGCGCCATGAGTCAGGACCTGCCCTTGGACCGTTCACATTTTTCCACCAGGGATGTGGTGGGAATGAAAAGTATGTGGATGCTGGTCCAATAGAAGGATGACGTTCGATTAAGTGATGCTGTCAATAATTGAAACCATCTCCCTGCAAAAGGGTGTGTACCCATAACTGGAAGTGTTTCAGCAGTGCTTCAACTGGAAGTTGTTTCAACCATCTGTTGGAGAGTTGGAGATGCTCTCGAGGGAACTCTGTTTGGGAGGGAGGCTGAACTAATAAATTCCTTCTAACCTGAGGAGCCTGTTAGTGTACCACATTTTGGCTCTAAGATGATTAGTAAAATTTTTTTTCCTGGAATCTGTTGGAGATCTCTGATTTATAAAGCTGGAAACTTAGAGCTTCTCTGGTACCCTGAGGACTGTGGTGATGGGATGGTGTGTGGTGTCCATTCGTGGGATAAACATGCTTTTAGACATGTGAGACCTTCAATTTAGAGTGAATTTATGGGAAGAAGTACTATAAACATACTTGTTTTAGGAACACTGATACCTTTGAAGGACTAACTAACAGTAAATGATAGAGAAAGGAAGATCAGAAAGAGGAAAAGAAAGCACAGTGGAGCCAGGTTGCTTTTTGGTCAGACGTCTTCAGCTGAGTGGCCCCAGCAGGTCACTAAGTGCCATTTACCCTGGCGCAGGGTGGGACGAAGTAGAAGCAGGATGTTCTTCCCATTCCTTTCTTACAAACTTCCTTCATGAGGCTGTACAAGGGAATTTTCTGATACCTTTTTATAAAACTGGCAAAAATAAAATAGCAGTGAATCTTCAGCCAGTCGCCCCCCTAATTGTCTTCACTGAGATATCTTCATTGATAAGGAGTTTTGAAATTCCAGCATTAATAATTCCATCTTTTAAATTTGATTCCAAATGGTATCGATTTTTATTTTTTTTATTGAAGTATAACATTATGTTAGTTTCAAGTGTATAACATAATGATGTGGTATTTCTATATATTCTAAAATGATCACCACAATCAGGCTAGTTAACATCTATCACCTTACATGGTTACACATTTTTTTTCTTGTGATGAGAACTTTTAAGGTGTATTCTCTGAGCAACTTTCAAATATAAGATACAATATTATTACTATAGTCACTGTGCTGTTCATTACATCTGGTATAGTTTTCTTAAAATCTGAAGCAAGTTTCTGAATTTTTAAAGAAAAAAAGTCCCATGAGTTAGGAGCAGGCTGATTCTTGGCCCAGCACTGGGACCACATTTGGTGTGTGATGACCAGGGGTTGAGGTTGCCCTGCAGAGGTCTAAGTGGAGCTGCTGTGTTCTGCACCTAAAGCCAGGGTGCTGAGGAGAAGGCATCACCTCTCTCCATTTCCCTCAAAAGGGTGTGTGGAGCTAAGACAGGTCAGGAGAGCAAGGAGGGAAGAATTCTGTACCAGCAATGAGGCAGCTTTTTGGGTGGTGAGTGTTGGTGCCTTTGTGGGATCAAAGAACGTGAGTTCACTCTGACCATTATTAATGAAATGATGGGAGGTACTTTAGGTGTATGGAATATATTAGAAATAATATAGTAAAACTTAACATACTCACCTCCCAACTTAAGACATAAAACTAACAACAGGTGAGCACCTCACATACCTCTCTCCCACCTCACAGCCTGCCCCTCTCAGAACTGATCACTATGCTGGGTTTCAAACCTTCATTTTCAGATAAGGAGAAGGAGGCCTAGAGAGGTCAGGAACTGGCCTAATCTCACACTCCAGACTAGTGGGGAACACAGGTGGCTTCTTCATGAGATAGGACATGAGAGAGGACAACTCCGAGATGACTTTGTGGTTCCAGTAAGTTATGTAACTTTGCATAATAAGCAATGGAGAGTTAAAGGAATTTTAGCTGACACTTTGTTGTCTGGAATTGGAAGATGTTGCAGTAAGACATAAGCAGAGGCCATGCAGTTCAGGGACCGTCAGACGTGCAGGCGGTTTAGAATCAAACCTGCAGAGTACTGTCACAGTGGAGCTGGAGCTATAAAGTGAACCCGCAGTGCAGCTAAGCCCCTTTCAGAGCCCTCCATTTCCTACCATGCAAATATTAGGTGCTTCCAAAGCCTTCAGAAAAACAGTCCTTTGAAATAAAAAATACCAGTTTAAAGTGTTTTCCTAGAAAAGTGTCATCAGGACATTTGAATGGCTTCCTGAGAGAAATGAAAGTGTCTTTTCATTGATGAGTACTACTCAATGATGAGTATTTTCTGGTAAATAAGAACCTGAAGGATTAAAGAAATCTGGAGCAATTAAATTTTAACAAAGAGAGCAGACAAGATTACTTTCCCCCTGATAGAATGATATATAATTAAAAAATTCTGGAGGAAGCACAGGTGTTTTTCCCGTTTTTATTTATAGATTTTTTAACAGCCTATGCTTTACACCCTGTCACTTCTTTCTTATTTTTTTTTTCTTTAAGAATAACAGCTAACAATTTTCACCTGGAACTCACACACAAGCATTTGAAAAGGTGGAATCTTTGGGGAAAGCGTGCAGTTCATCACAAGATCATCCACTAGACTTAAATTTTATCCAGAAGGCTGACATTAAATATCTATAGAAATCATCAAACAAAGCTTTGGAAAACAAGCACTACATATGAAGAACACTGGCAGATTCTTTGTTAAAGAAGTAATAGGAGCTGTGGAGTTTCTGAATTAACCCATCTATCAAATGAACAGGAGGAAGTCAGATGCCCCCGTTTGCCCACCCAGGTTCACCAACTAGAATGCCCAGCCGCAGCTGGACTGATTTGAGAGCTCACTGTTGTGTTTATCAGTATGCTTTTGTCTTTTTCTAAAGCCCATCAAGTGGAATCTCTCCACTTGCTGTGTAAGGAGCAGTATCTGCCTGTTCACACTCAGATCATCAAACTTTAATGTCTTTCCAGAACTGATAAGAGCTGTGAAGACCACCATTCCAGACTTGGCAATCTTGCTTTTGTTTTTCAGACTGTTTATTCTATGGCTCCATTCCCTTTCCCGCAATTGGCAGAGTTGAGGGAAAAATACACCTACAACATTACACCATTCCCAGCCACGGTCAAACCCATCTCCATTTCTAGGTAATGTCCTTTTTTTCCCCTTGTTGCTTTTGTACCTTCATTTGTTATTTTACCTTAATATTTATTAAGCCTCAGAAATATATTCAAGGTAGTTTGGTACTTAAAACCTGAATGTCTCTTTTCTAAAGGCTCTGATTTAAATTCAAGAGAGGAATTAGGTGGGACAAGAGCAGGAGAGAAGATGGGATGGGGGAGAGATTTTTTTGTATATATAAATTACATATTTGTCATTTAAACCATGTAATTTTATAACTTTTTTTAAAGCACTATTTTCTTTTAATATTTCTTTTTCTTATTTTATATTTTCCAAGACGACATGGTAAGGTCAGAGACAGTGATGAGGAGAATGATCCAGACGATGAAGATGCTGTTGCTAATGCAGTGGGGTGTCTTGGACCTTTCAGTGGACTCCTGGCACCTGAACTGCAGAAATACCCAAAGCAAATTAAAGGTAAGGAGGTGGCTCTTTATTTAGAAGATCGCAAAGTGTCGGCTTGCTATAGCAAGGGTATTATTACTGTGTCTTACAAATGCCTATTGTTTCCTGAACTTAATACCACTATAAAAGGTCTTTATTGAAATCATCTTCTCTGCTACTGTATTGTTTTGCAGGATTTCTCTGTTATATGTTGCATGCTTAATTCATATTTCTTTTTCTTTATGAGTTTTACCTCCACTCAAATGACTCAATTTAAAAAAATATTATAGATAACCTTTATTAAGCAACTGTGGTGTACACACTGTGGTTCTAGACATTTTACATATATTATTCATTTAATCTTCATAAGAACTTGCAAATTAGGTGTTATTGATTCCATTTTTACAGACGAGAAACTGATATTTAAAGTTACCCAGCATCATAATGTCCATTAGCAGCAGAGCTGAACTGATAGCCCAGGTCAGTCTGGCTCTTATCTGGCTCCTAGGTTTTAACTATGATGTTTTGGACCCTGACATTGCCTGATGTTGCCAGAAGGCTTTGACTGTTGCTACCAGTTGCATGCCTTCCTAAACTAAGGGAAGGAAGCCTTCCTTCCCAAAACAACTGGTTCCCTAAGCCAAATTTGGATTTACCAGATAGTGGCATTTGAGGGGGCCCTGAGTTCAGCATTAACTGATAGACAACAAAGTCAGGAATATAGATGTAAAAATATCTTCTTTGTTACCGACAAAAGGTGGATTGGAGGTTTTAAGGTAAATCATCAAACCTTAGAAACAAAGCAGGAGGATTACTGCTTGTTCAATGTCATTGTTTAACTGGCTCTCCCAACAGTTACATGGTAGAGCACATCTATTGGACATTATTCTTTACTGTTTGATTATAGTCCAGAGACTGAAGTTAAATGTTCACATGAAGATTTCTGTCAGTGGAAAAGATAATCCCAAAGGTTAGTCCTATGGCCCTATAGCACAAAACTATTGTGCATTGAGTTTCTTGGTCCTTGACTTCTCAAAGGAAATAATTGAGTTGAGAGATCAGATAGCAAGTAGAAGCAGCAAGGAGTTTGTTAGGTTAAAGTGAAATATACATGGAAGGATCCAAGCAGGCAACTCGAAAAGAACTGAGTGCTGTGATCCAACTTATGTTCAGTTCTGTAGTACAGATTCTCGCATATAAGCATGAATAATTCTATTTGAGTTTAACTGAATTCATTATAGACTGGCTTTTCTTCCTATAGAAATACCCTCTTAATCTAAAACATTATGGTAGCCTCTACTTGAATTTGAGTGATAAGAAACACATGATCTCATAGGTCATTCTGCTAGCTTCTGCCACTTAGTCCATGGTTTCTAGGTGCAAAGAGATAACCTCCATCTACCAGTCCTAGTAATAGTTCTTCTCTTTGGAACAAAACAGAACAAGTCTACTACTCCCCCTCTATTGGATGTCTCTTCGTACCTTTGAGGACAGCCACCACGTCCCCCTAAAGCTTTCTCCATGGTCCATGTTCAGAATTTCTCAAAGATACTATTTCCAGAATTCTTGATAGTCTATAAATTCACCTCTAAACATGCTTTAGAGGTATCCTTTTAAAAATGTGGTACTCTGAATTGAACGCCACACTCTCTTTTTTTCTTGAGGAGCGTGGACTTGCTGCGGTCTGGACGTCATTGATGTGATGAACCCTTTTAAAGTGGCTCTTGGTTCTCCCACTGTGTTCCTTCCCATCTGGGTAGCAGCTCTTCCTTTAGGGTATTTGTTCTGCCTCTTCTGGTCTGGAGAACCTTTCTCCTTGCTGAAAAGGACAGAAACATGCTAAAAGAAGACAGAGACAAAAGCTATGAGGCACCTCTGTGTTCTCTTTGCCATCTGCCAACTTAATGCTCTCTCCTCAGAGTCAGTTTTACTCTTCTTGCTTGGAAGGTTCCTCTTTTTGTTTTTTGGTTGTGGTAGTTTTGAGTTCCCCATGCCTTAGCTTGCTTTGAGTTTTAACCTGCTCAGTGGTTCAGGTTCATGCTGTTGTGTGCGTGTGTCTCTGGTATGGCTTCTCAACTTTGTAAGTGGCTTTTGAAAATCTGAACCTGACAAGAGTTCTGTCGAGTCCATGATGCCCTCCACCCTGCTCTTTGTTGCCTTGATTTCAGCCATGGGGTCTATGGGTCCTTGCCATGGGATCAAGATGTATTTTAACTCTAAAATTCTTTAGCCCTCATTTCTGTGGTCTGGGTCCATGTTCCTCTGTTTCTCTCTTTTCTTTCTGTATACAACCAGGATTGTCTTCTGCCGAGTCCCGTCATTCATCTTTCTTGTTGGTTTTAATTTCAGATGTGAGGTCCCCTTGTAATTTTCTTCTCTTTAAAGAAGGGTTTTCAGTAAAAAAGGTAAGTAAATTTATCTGATGTTTAGGCTTTATCTGAGTAGCACTTTTGGCAGATGTTAGGATACTTGGAATCTCCAATTAATCTTTTTCTTTTAAAGCTGGTTCCCAGGCCAGTGGTGCCTACTGTGCTAGGAGCGCTGTGCTCCATCCTTCCCCAGCCTGTGCAGAATGTGTGTGCACTCACATGGTGCTTGTTTCTCTTTCTCAGATGTCATCTCCATTTTACTTAAGGGGCAAATCTGCCAGTTGTAGGGGTCACTGGAGGAGCAGAAACCACACCAGACATAATACACATAGTAGATGATCAGAAAATGTTTGCTAAATGAATAAAAACATTCATCTTCAGTGATACAGTGATCCAAAGTTGTGGTAATTTTATAGAATGTATTGCTGTTTTTAACTTAAAAACTCACTGTAATGACTAACCTCTACAAACTATCAATCCCTTATAAATCCTCATGTAGTTATATGGAAATATGCACACTGACGTTAGATATCTGGAGTTATATTTTTCTGAGAGAATTTTAGAACATGACAGCGATTTTATCTGCCAACAGTTGATCTGATATCTAGAAAGTGAACAAGTGGTAAAAAAATCAAATGGTGAACCCATAGAACTCATTTCAGACCCATAATTAGGTGAATAAAATGCAGACATATTCTCAGGACCAAATCAAAAGAAGTACTAGACAAATTCTAGAGTACATTTTTTTTTTTTGTGGTTTACAATTTCCTGGAGGTTAAGGTACTACAGCTACTATAGCGGGTTGTAGGGTAACCAGTTCTCATTGTCCTGTTCCTCCTTGTCTCTGCCCTGGAGTACAGAACCAAACGAAGAGCAGAGTCTGAGGTCTAATAACATTGCAGAGCTGAGTCCAGGAGCAATCAATTCGTGTCGAAGCGAGTACAACGCAGCTCTGAACAGCATGATGATGGAACGCATGACCACCGACATCGACGCACTGAAGCGGCAGTATTCTCGCATCACGAAGAAACAGCAGCAGCAGGTTCATCAGGTGTACATCAGGGCAGGTAAGGTGGTTCTGTGTCTCAGTCTATTCAGCTGTGTCAGCTTGTGGGCGGAAACTCAGGTGTTCCCAGGATGGCCTCAGACTCACTACACACTGGGGTTCAGTGTCCACGCACAGAGCTGGATGAGACGCAACATATTGAGCGTCTCATTATTTATTTTATCTTACCAGGCTTGAAAGAAGACAGAAACCATGCGTTCTTTTTAGGTCCCAAGAACCAGACTGTTGATGGTATTGAGCATATCTTTACCATGTGTGCCTGCAGAGAGGGGTTTATGAATGATCAGAATGTCACACAGCCGTGCAATCCTTGGACTTGAGACATGTTGCAGCTGTTGCCTCTTAAGTTTCTGGTATTTGAAAATAGAGTGTAGTCATCCGAGCTCTAGTGGATTACGCTGTGTACTCGTCATTTGGCGGTAATGTAACAGATGTTGTGATCGGAGACAGGAAAACGCCATTACCATGCCTTGCTGGTGGGTTAGCAGTGTCTTGGGAGTTGACTGAGAAGAAAACAAGATGCAGTTGGAAATGTTCTTTTCCAAGGATTGTCAAGCTTCTTTTTTCTTTTAATTTTGAGAATCTCATTGAACAATCTGCTTTATTGTTTAATATTTGCTGATTTGGTAATTGGTTTGTCTTGTTCTAAGAGAAATCCTAATGAAATGATGCCTGTCCAGAATTAACCAAAATATAAATTGGATGTGTTTTAAAGAGGCTTGTGAGATGTGACTGATCTTGCACAAAAACTGAATTTACCTTCCACTTATCCCAGGGGAGAAGGTGACTTCTCAAAGATTCTTACTTTACCCTGAATCACTAAGAAAGCAATCACAAAAGAAACTAAACCACATCACTTTATTTTTCAAAACACTGGCACATACATGTCCTCATTTTGTCTTCCTTTGAGGAAGGCAAGGACAGATATCCTTTGAAAAGATAAGGAAATGGTGATTCAGGAAGCTTTGGCAGTTGTCTGGGGTGCTTTAGCACTGGGAAGAGGTCAGGCCAGGACTAGAACTCTTGTGTTCTGCCTCTTTGTATAGTCCTTTTCAACCACACCCCACAAACCTTGCAGCAGGGTGGGGAAAAATCACCCCTGGTTACTGAATCAGCCCAGGCCTGACACTCCAATCAGGGGTCAGCAAATTATGGTTTACAGACCAAAGCCTGCTTGCTGCCTGTTTTTGTAAATAAAGTTTTATTGTAATACAAGCATACCCATCTGTTTCCATTTTGCCTATGACTGCTTTCACACTGCAATGACTAAAATACAACCAGGTCCTTTATGGGAAAGGTTTACTGACCCCTACTCTAGATCATGGTTTATGCAGTTCTTTTTAGGGAGAGATTGTTGTTCAAAGGCAAAGTTCTTAAGCATTGCTTTTTTTTTTATTTCGGTATCATTAATATACAATCACATGAGCAACATTGTGGTTACTAGATTTCCCCCATTATCAAGTCTCCACCACACACCCCATTACAGTCACTGTCCATCAGCGTAGTAAGATGCTTTAGAGTCACTACTTATCTTCTCTGTGCTGTACTGCCTTTCCTGTGCCCGCCCCCCCCATTATGTGTGCTAATCGTAATGCCCCTTCTCCCCGCTTCTCCCTCCCTTCCCATGCACCCTCCCCAGTCCCTTTCCCTTTGGTAACTGTTAGTCCATTCTTGGGTTCTGTGAGTCTGCTGTTGTTTTCTTCCTTCAGTTTTTGCTTTGTTCTTATGCTCCACAGATGAGTGAAATCATTTGGTACTTGTCTTTCTCTGCCTGGGACAATAACACTATCAACAGTGCCCTCCAGGAGAACAAAGCTTTTGCTGCTCCCAGTTTCTAGTTTTCCCTGAAGTCCATTGCAGATGTAGGAGTGGTTTTTCATATGTAGATCAGGCATTGCGTAGTTGTGATTTCACTGCATTTTTACCACCTTACCACTTCTCTCATTATGCTGTCTCTCATTTCATAATATGCAGTATGTTCTTTTCCTACCTCTTAGAGGCTGACAGCTGATAATCCATATGGTCATGGTATTTGACTTACTACTTTTAAAAATCTTCAAAGATTTTCTAGGTAGGAGACCTCTCAGGTTGCTTCTTGGAGAAAACATGAGGGAGGCTTTACTCTAACTGGTAGTGAGGGAGTCAGTCTGCTCCTTTTCATATCCTCAGCCCCTCATCTCCTCCTCTTTGTAGGGGGAGAAGGAGGGAGTAGGTTCCCAGGCTCTGGGGTTGAATTCAGTTTCTGCTGCCTCCAGTCACATGACTCGGCCAATACCTGGGAAATACGTGGGCAAGGGTGTGGGGACAACCTCTGTGTCTCTCCTCTTCTGTGCTGGATGTGTCTCTGGTATACTTCAAATGACCTTTCATTTATTTCAGACAAAGGGCCAGTGACCAGCATTCTCCCATCTCAGGTAAACAACTCTCCAGTTATAAACCACCTTCTTTTAGGGAAAAAGATGAAAATGTCAAACAGAGCTGCCAAGAATGCTGTCATCCACATCCCTGGTCACACAGGAGGCAAACTATCTCCTGTCCCCTACGAAGACCTCAGGACGAAGCTCAATTCTCCCTGGCGAACTCACATCCGCGTCCACAAAAAGACCATGACGAGGACAAAGAGTCAGCTGGGCTGCGGGGACACCATCGGGCTGATAGAGGAGCAGAACGACGGCCGCAGGAGTAACAGCCTGGGGGCAGGAGAGGCCTTCTCCTCGGACTGCGGGGCGACAGCTCGGCGACAAGGCAGTGGCTCAGAAGGCGGCCTGGGGAGGACAGTGGAAGGGCAGCCCCCGGAGCCAGCGTTTGCCGATGCCGGCGCCGATGTGTCTGCAGTCCAGGTGAAGTTAGAAGCCCTGGAACTGAACCAAAGGGATGCCGTTGCTGAGCCCCAGCCCACGCTGTGCCCGCCCTGCCCGCGTCACCTCCCAGAGCTGCCCCGTGCATCTGGAGAAAACCAAGTCGCCAGCAAACTGCCCCCCGGCAGCCACCCCAAGACACCCATCTTTAGCCCCTTTCCCAGCATCAAGCCACTGCGGAAGTCAGCCACCGCCAGGAATTTGGGGTTGTATGGTCCCACAGAGAGAACCCCGACCGTGCACTTTCCTCACATGAGCAGGAGCTTCAGCAAATCCAGCAGTGGAAGCAGTGGCAGTAAGAAACGGTGATGTCTCCGAAACGGAATCTAGATTCACCTTTTCTTGGTGGAATAAGGGTTCCAGCAGGATGGCTCCAAGAATGTCAGTTGTCCAGTGGAAATGAATAGACAGGTTCAGCAATGTGCAACAGTCCATTAAAATGGGAATTGGAGTTTTCTAATGGGAGCTAGAATAGGGATGTTTTCCCATCCACTTATAACTGACACAGTGGATTTTTGTGGCAAAATAAATCTTGTGGTTTTAAAGTGTGAAGTTTTTCCAGGTTTTCACTGTGAACTGTTTAGAAAAGACTGTGTATCTGAACTGTTAACCCCTCTTCCTTCCTCCTGTTCTGAGGGCCTGCACAGTCCCTGTGACATTACCCCCAGCCTTCCAGTTTTCTGGGTGTTATTGATACTCAAGCATGCCCACACTAGCTTGCTAGAACAGAAACTGTAAAAAGAAAGTAAGTTTCTTCGTTGCAAAAAAAACTTCCTGATTGTCCTCCTCATGTCCTGTTGGGGAGAATGTTTGTGTGTGTGTGCGTTTCTTCAGCAGTTTCTTTCAACCGGCCTCGAAATTGTTTTTATTCTTATGCTAAAGTGCAGGAGAAAAATCCAGATAGCCTTTCTTTCATTTCCTATTTCTACCTGCAAAATGAAGACCTGTATCTGTTGAAATTTAGGTTGATCATGAACTTGAAGATCTTATGCAGAAAACACAGATGGATGAGCACTAAGCAATTGTTCTGAGCAGCTTGCTGATTCCACTAAGCTTTTCCTGAGGTTCCCTTTCTTGTAAGGAAGTTTTGGTCCTCAGTGTTAGGATGGCTTGATGAGCTCTGCGTGGAGCACATCCTACCTCCTCCACCATGCAGCTCGTTTCTCTACCAGCTCTCCACAGCAGATGCAGTAAGGCCTTTGCTCCAAAGCCAGAACATAGCAACTGCAGCTTTTTACTTGAATTTTGTGCTTTTTTGATTGGGTACTCTGTTACTTGAATACCGCCTTTCTCTGGAGAAGGCATTTGTGCTCTCTAGCTCCCTCTCACCCACTCCTCCCTCCGCCCCAGCGGGTCAGAGGCAGCACTCTTATTTCCACTACGCAGATGGGAACTGAGCCACACAGAGGTGAAGCAGTGCTTCACACACTCAAGGTAAATATTCCTGGTATTCAATGTGACTTAGCCACATCTCCTCCGGAGCAGTCGGTGTGGGTTCAATGCTTTTTGTGCTCAGAAGGATTGGCTGTATAGGTTCTGAAAAACCAAGACTGGGAAGCCGTTCATTCACTACATTCCCCCCTGACTCAAAGGACCTTTCTCCAGGTGCTGGGCAGTCCCGTGATAGTGTTTCACAGAACCAGATTCCCTGCAGATGTAGTTCATTTAAAAAATGCCTTCTGCAACTGTAACTCAGCTGAACAGAAAGTTCATTCCTCAATCTGCAGCTACCACCATCATTAGAAAAATAGATTCAGCATCTTTAACCTCATCTCTGGAAGAGCGTGTTCATGCCTGCAGGCATATTGTTGATGCAGCCCGTAATAATTTGGGCTGCTTGGATTGCTAATCCTGAAGCCAAGACTACAGTTTTAGAGAGGGCTTTTACTATGAGAGGTATTAATTTTCATAATAAAATAGACTATCGTTGCATGGGCTTTTTTAAACAGACAACACAAGAATGACAAATACAGTGAGAAAAGCCAGTTTATCCCTTTTTTGGTATTTTTATCCCCCAGGGAACCGAAGATGGAAAACGTGACTGAAAAGTTATTGCAGTTTGGGTCTTGAATTCTGTGCCATTTGAAGTTAGCATGTAGCTTCTTAAAAAGCAGCCACACCCACAACCTGGTCTTGGGAAGGGTGTAGGTGTGAGTTGGGCTCACTTTGAATACCGCCCTCGGGAGGAGACCCATTGCATATTCTAAAGTTAGGCAAGTGTCATGATTTTCTTCCATCTGCTAAACCTACAGATAAGAATGATTCCACCTTATATTCTTTTCTCCTCACCCGTCTCAAACGAGTCAGATTAGTCATGTTCCCCTTGAGGATTGTGTGACTTGAATAGAGAAATGTTCTTTTCTCTCCTGAGTCAGCTCACAGCTCTCTGAGGGTCTGGGTTCAGGGAGATGGGTAATGGGGTGGAGGCCACTCACTACAGGCCCTGGAATTGTGCCATTGCTGTCTGCCAGTGGTCTGGGGGTAGCGCATGCCTTCCTTTTCACCAGCGCTGCTCTTCCTGAGAAAGGGGTGGATGAGATTGCACATAGTTTAGGATGAGTGTTTGTTGAATGAATGAATAACTCAAAGGATGATAATCCTTTGTGGTAAAAGTGATCTTGTCAGGAATTTAAAAGCTGACAGGTTCCTATTAGAGCACTCTCTGTACCAGTAATGTGCATGCATTGTACTGTGTAATCACAATGTGGATTGGTCAATTTATGATCCTCACCTACCTTAGAAAATAAATCTGCAGTAGTCTACCACATAGCATGTACAAAGACCCATATGGACTCGTCATCTTTCCTATGTATTGGACACTATGCAAGTGCCAGAAGTACTTACCAAGTAGCCGTTTCTTTTTTTTTAGATATGTCTGTACCTGTTGGCACCAACACTGGCAGTTGACTCTTTGCATTGCCTCTGCGCCTCAGTCCTCTTACAGAAGCCTCCAGATGATTTAAACCTAATGTGTCATGTTGGCCTGTGGGCTGTAACTATTGGGAACATTGTATTCCTTTTTTTGTCTCTCTTGTTGCTCTGAAGAACTGTATTGATTACAAAGATGTATGTATAAAGATTCTTATTGTTGTAGCCGTTGTGCCATTTTCTCTCCTAGCGGCTGCACAGAACACTTGTGACATTCCTTTCCCCTTCCTCTTCAGCATGTCACCCACCACCCCCCTTGGTCACCTGAACCAGGGACACAGCCCAGCAGGCTCCTTTCCTGCAGACTCATCACTGGGTTACAGTGGCCTGTGACCTGCTGAGAACCTGGCAGTATAGTAGGTTCCTAAATATGAGTAAGCAGAGAGTTTGAGAATGTGTGTGCGAATATCTGTGTGTGTATGAAATTAACCTTTAGATCTGTCATTTCCCTTTGCTTCAATGAAATAGAAAAATTAAAATGTAGTTTAGCTTCCTGGTTGTACGGATTCTAAATGAAGAGATCTGTGATCAGGTGTACAGCTGCTGCTGTCTCCCCTCCTAACATCTGTTACTGTTTCTGACCCACTTTCTCTGATCCCTACCACAATGAAAATTGAGGCAGCATTTAAAATACATTATTTTCCCTAAGTAGAAAAGTAACACATGCTTTAAGAAAATACAGAAAACAGCACAAAGAATCACTGGTATTCTGCTATGGGTCTTTCCAAAATGTTCTTGTATGTGTATACACGTCATTAGCTACAAAAAGGTATATTGAGCAAATGAGTCTAAACTGTCTTTCTAGTAAATGCTCTTATGCAGCATCATTTTCAGTGACTAGTAGTCCATCATGTGTTTGTGACAGAATTCACATAGCCAGTACTTTGCCAGGTGGTTTTTGATTTTAGCTAGTAACTGGAGAGGGCATCCTAATATTTACCCCTTTGTGCACAGCCTTTACTATGTTCTCAGGGTATGTACGTCGAGGTGGAATTACTGGGTCAGAAAGTATGCAGATTTTAAAGTATACATATTGCCAAATTACCATTCATAAACGTTGAACTTACTTATCCAAGCAGTGAACAGGAATGCCAGTTTCTCTGTTCCTCTGGAAGAGGCAGCAGTTTTTTTTTTTTTTCTAGGACCTCCAGTGTTGATAGAAGCAATGACAATGGACACTTATATCTCATTTCTGTCTTAAGGCAACCATTGACTAAGATATTTGCTGTGATTTCTGGTAGGTATCCTTTATCAGGTGAAGGAAATTACCTTTTATTCTTTGCTCCTAAGGGATTTAAAAAAAAAATCAAGCTTTGATCTTTAATTTTGTCTTTGGAGAAGGAAGTTAGTGCTTGAGACTTGGTGTCTTGCCCTTGAGAAAGCCATTTCCAGGTTTGATCAAAGAATATCAGGTATTTTAAGAGTTGGAAGTGGTAACAGTGAAGATTGTATGTGCAAATTTTCATTGTGGTATTAACATTATTGGTGGGAATTTGGAGATAATGCAAATATCTGAGAATAGGGGAAATGGGTTGGGTGAATTAGGTTCATCCACAAGGATGGAAATGCAATGGCCCATAAGTGTTCGGGCCACTGAAGTAGTGATTACCTATCATCCATGTGAGTCAGTTCAGATTAAAGTCAGCAGTGTCTGGAACCACAGAGCCATGGGGACACAGCTAAGGATGGAAGACCTTTACTGTCTGGTGGCTGAAAGTAGAACCGGGCAGTGATTCATCCACATAGGCATCTGTGCTCAGCTGGATGCGGGCTGAATGGGGACTTGTGGACTGTCAGGGTCGTGTGCACTCCCATGAGGTTCTCTGCTGGCTGGCTCCTGCAGTTGAGCCTGCTTTCCTGGAGCTCGGCTCTGGTCAGATGCATTGACCTCCTGAAGAGTCAGGCTCCATTCCCATTCTCTTTATCCCTCCCAGCACCAGCAATCTGATAGCTTACCTGATTGCTACGCCCTGCTCCCCCTCCCACTTCCATTTTAATAAAGTTAAAAAACCAGAAAGTTGTCTGTTTCTTAATATTTGCGTTCCTGCTATAACAGTTACAGTTTTGTTAGGAAGGAGTTTGGTTCGGAGATGCAGAGAAGTCAGAATGATAGTTAAAGAAGGATTTCATTAAAGGGAGAATAGCCTTGCCTCTTCCTTACAGAGAGCAAGCAAGAGCAGGGGGGGAAGGAAAGCCTACTGAACTGCTTGGCATCGGGCAAATCCCTTGCCAACTCCTAAAGTGAGGGTCACCTGGTGTCCAATGTCTGCTTGAATCTGCACAGCATGAGAACTAAGCCCCTACCACTCCAGGATTTGGGGGAGCTTCTGTGCAAAGGATGGAATAAGATTATGTTCTTAGAATTTCCCAAAGGCAAAGAAAGGAGATTTTCCAGCAGGCTACTAAAAGTACTGCAGTCCTGTCCTGGTCACCTAGGTGATGGGAACCTGCAGGCACAAATCAGTGCGCTCAGCAGCCCTTCCTACTTATCTGGAGTAGAACAGAGACAGAGTGAAGACGTGTGCTTAAGCCTGGAGAATAGAATGAAATAGCAAAGTAACAAAGACACTAACCACTGGAAGAGCGTAGAGACAAAATGTAGTAAGTTGAGCAGTAAGGGTAAGTCTTTATTTAAGGCAGAATGTGTACACTTGAAGCAAGGGGCGTGTGGGCAACCTCAGAGGAGGCGTGCTTAGGGATTTAGGGCTTGGGGTTTTTTAGGGTTTTTTGGGTAGGGGTCAGCATAAGGCATAATGAATACAGGTGATTCATAATTCCTTTGAAGTTTTGTCTTAAGAAAAGGGTTATTTAGGTGACTGTGTTGGCCCTGATCTGAGCATTATTTATCCACATAGGTTTATTTACACTTTGGAGGTCTATCTCCTGTCTTGGTTACAAAGTTACTTAATTGATAAGGGACTAAAAGAAGAGGAAGAACAGCATGTAGATTAAGTTAAAGAATAAGATGGGTCTTTTTTGCAGGCTAAGAAGATTTTTTTTTCTTCAAATTTGCAAGATTTTTATGTGTTTTTTTTTGAGAGGGCATCTCTCATATTTATTGATCAAATGGTTGTTAACAACAATAAAATTCTGTATAGGGGGGCCAATGCTCAATGCACAATCATTAATCCATCTCAAGCCTAATTCTCGTCAGTCTCCAATCTTCTGAAGCATAACGAACAAGTTCTTACATGGTGAACGAATTCTTACATAGTGAATAAGTTCTTACATGGTGAACAGTACAAGGGCATTCATCACAGAAACTTTCGGTTTTGATCACGCATTATGAACTATAAACAATCAGGTCAAATATGAATATTCGTTTGATTTTTATACTTGATTTATATGTGGATCCCACATTTCTCCCTTTATTATTATTATTATTTTTATTTTTAATAAAATGCTGAAGTGGTAGGTAGATGCAAGATAAAGGTAGAAAACATAGTTTAGTGCTGTAAGAGGGCAAATGTAGATGATCAGGTGTGTGCCTATGGACTAAGTATTAATCCAGGCTAGACAAGGGCAGCAAGACATCCACGGATGCAGAAGATTTCTCTCAAAGCAGGGGGGGTGAGGTTCTGAGCCTCACCTCTGTTGATCCCCAAATTCTCACCTGATGGCCCCCCTGTGACTGTGCCTGTCTTAGGTTGTTCCTCCCTTGAGGAATCTTACCCGTCTCTGGCTAACCAGTCATCTTCCGGGGCCATACAGGGAAATGTAAAGTTGGTAAGTGAGAGAGAAGCCATATTGTTTGAAAAGGTTAGCTTTTTACTTCGGCTAAGAAGATTTTATAATGGCATGACCCTTGTCCCATTTCCCTGGCTACTTCATGAGGTAGGGCAGAGAGGTCCTGGGCTGGCAATCTTGCACCTTGGAGGACGGATCTAATTGGTGCAATGAAGATATGGGCTGCACTCTGACAGTTAATCTGGAAATTGTTTTTCATCTGAGGAATATTCCAAGTCACTCCTGGCCTTTGAAACTTCAACTAACTCTGTGAGTCCTTTCTGGCTCTCTAGTTTTATCTGGTTAACTCTTTGAGTCCCTTGTAGTAGACCATACTGTCTTTATTCTCTCTCTACCCTGCTCATGTCTGTCTTTCTGCCTAACAGTTTTCCTGTAGGCAATGCTAATCCTTGGGGAGGAGGCGGATCTGTTCCCCTAAGGGGCTAACAGCTTTGTGCATGGGAACCAGCAGATACCTTAACCCAGGTGTCTCCCCATTCCTGGAGAGTCAAGGAATTTGTATTTAAACAAAACAAAGCAACAAAAAACCCCAAAAAGCTACCCAAGTAATTTTGGCACTGAACTAGATTTGGCCACCACCCGTCAATCCAGCTATTTTCCTGGTCTCTTAACTGGTCTCCCAACCCATCTCATCTTGCCCTACTTCTCTCCATTGCTGTAACTACACATTGCTACCAGGGGACCCTTCTCAAATGAGAAAGTGATCAGGCCAGCCCTCCAGTCAAAATCCCTACAGCGTTCCCCATTTTCTGGAGGATAAATATCTAAAATCCTTATCTTAGCCTGTCTGGCTCATGGTTATGTTCTGAGCCCATTTACCCACCATCTTTATGAAAGTGAAGTGGATGGCTGTCCTTGTCCATGGTCACCTGCCTGGTAAACAGCAGAGGACTGATCCATCTTCCCTTTGCTACCCTGACCACTTTGCATACGACTTGAAATCCCCTGAAGGCTCCTTGCTCTGCCAGCACCCCTGTAACTGTGTATCCACAAACCTCTTTCTTGCTCAGCTCTGCCTGGGAAACACGTACCCACCCTTTTCGTCTTATCACACACACTAATGGGGTCAAATCCAATCAGTGTCACTTTCCAGTTGTATGATTTTGTGCAAGTTACATTTGAAACCTTTGATTTCTGTATCTGTACAAGGAGAGTAATAATGTCAACCTCGTAAGATTTGTGGTGGGCATCTGCTAATTTTGCTGTCTGGAACTAGTTATCTTCCTCTGGTAACAATGCCCTATTTTGCTTGGGGAGCCAGCCCTCCTTCCTCTCTGTTCTCCTGTGTCTAGTGAGGCTGACACCCCTGGCACACAGGGCCCAA